ACATACCATACATATCAAACGAGCCATGCATATCATACATATCCAATCAATCAATAAAAGTGTTATGTGTCAACCATAGGCTTGCTATTATGCCACGAGTCGCCTCGTGGTCTTCCTTGCCAGGTCGGGGGCCAAAACCGTAGGTCTTACAGACAAGTTCCAGGAGCCACCTCTGGGTCTTCCATGCAAGAATCACAAAGACAACTAGCATACAATCTACACTAATTAACTAAATAACTGCCAGAGTTCAAACTCTGGTCTTGCATACAGTTTGCCAGGAGCCGCCTCCTGGTCTTTCATACAAACTGCCAAGGGCTACCCCCGGGTCTTCCTACAATACATAAACCAAATGGGCCAGCATTGGTGCCTTCGACCCATAGAACAGTGAGGAGACTCACCTCGAACGGCAGATAAATCCCACAACTGTTGCAGCTGCTACGAACCGGCTTCCACGAGCTAAACCAAACAACCAAACCATTCTTTAAGGGGTATTTGGATAGGGAAAAAAGATGATGTTTATTGCTTATTGTTTATTCCCACCACAATAAGCTAAGTTTAAGTGTTTGGATAGGAATCCTTAAAAATCAGCTTATTGTGGTAGGGATAAGCTAAATAAGTTGGTTTTAATAAGCATCTCTCCCCTTGCTTATTGCTTATTGCTTATTCCCACCGCAAATAAGCTAATAAGCAATAAGCTAATAAGTTATAATCTAATTTATCCAAACACCCCCTTAATAATTAACCATGGCAAAACCACCAAGCATTAATCCCATAAATGGTCCAACTAACCAAGCCCACAATTGGACCAAGCCCATTGGGCCCAAACAAGGCCCAAATCCATTGGGCCCACTAAGGCCCAGTTCACCATCCAAGGCCCATTAGAGCAAGCCCAACCAGAAGTCCATTACTCTAAAATCCTTAATCCATTATGAGCCCAAACCAAAGGATAAGTCCAAGACCAAGCTAGCAGCCAACAATCAAAGAGCCCAAAACTTGCACAGGAGATGCCCACGTCGTGAGCCCCTTATGCTCACATCGTGAGGTCATGACTTTTGCCCAGAAACTTCCTCGAACACGCTCTCACATCGTGAGGTCTTATTCCTCACATCGTGAGACCAGATCTGACCAAAAATGAGCATTAAGCTCCTAATCCATTAAGCTTTAACATGGGACGGTCGAGAGGGTCTTCCTTGACCCCAAGTACCATAAAAATCGAAACTTTTCAGTCATGCATATCCAATGCATGACTCAAACACCATCTTAGGTCAAAATGAAGGAAAAAGGGCCAAGACTCAAGCTTGGAGTCCAAAACCATGACCAAAATCCAGATCTAAGACTTAAGATACCACCATGATCCATAAAGTTGCCAACTTTATGGATCCCATGCATGCTAACCTACATAACAAGCCATAAAATGAATGGAAACTTAGATCTAACAAGCAAGGAAAGGAAAGGCACGAGCTTGAGGACTTACAGAGGTCCAAAAGCTCCACAACCAGTTGATGATGAAGCCAAGATGCTAACAAACGCACCACAAATGATCTTCTTCTTACTCAAAGGCTCCAAAGACCCAAAATCTCTTGAATAACAGCAAGAATGGTCAAGAACTTCAATGGGGGCTGAGATTAGGGTTTCTAGAGGTCTTGGAAGTAAAGGAGGCTGAGGAGAAGCAACCTGAATCATCTCATACCTTTAAATACCCGAAAATTAGGGTTTTGGGGCATCAGGTGCCTCTTACGTCGTGATCACTTAATGCTCACGTCGTGAGCCTTAAATGAGCTCGGTCAACAAGTCAATGATCACTCACCCGAACCACTCCAACTTCAAACGGCCATAACTTCTTCGTTTCAACTCCGTTTTCGACGTTCTTTATATCCACGGAAAGGTGGTGAGAATCCCTACGCTTCTAACAACTCACCATGGCCTTAAAACTTTCCGAACAAAAACCCAAAATCCATAAAGAACCGAGTTATCAAATTACAATTATACCTTTGACCTCCGAAGGCACCATCGAACACTTGGATCACTTAAACCATAATACCCACATCCGAAAAGGGCCAAATTCTTTCTTCCCCAATGCCCTAAGTGTCATGACAACTGATGATTGGTTCGCGGCCCCGAATAATGAAGCAAATCCAAAACCGAGTATTACAAAAACACCATAAAAACATGCAAATAAGGTTGTTCACCCAAATAACATGCAATTTCATAAAATACATATAAAATGCAATGATCTACAACTAAATGGGATGCATAAACGGGACAAAATGAATGCAAAAAGGTGCACAAAATGAACCTAACAACTGAACTCTGTATGGGTGTCGATCATTAAAGATATCCACAGTTCGGATGGAGATTTTCATGTGTACGGGTTCAAGTATATAGATTTCATAGCAATACTATTCCTTTTTTCCCACTTACGTGGCAAGGGAATTGATACTACTTCTTTTCTTTGCAAAAAAAGTGGGTGAAAAATAATCTACTAGCTTTTTGGAATGAGACTTGTTTTGGTGACATTACATTCGAGTATGTTTCCCTGATATCATATGCTTGGAAAATAATAAAATAATGTTTGATCAATATCAAGTTGTGATAATGGTTAGAGTTGGCATCGAGACCTAAGGGAGAAACCACACAATTAGTAGCCCTACAGGATGGTCATTCGATTGTTTTATCGGACCAACCAAACATATGATTTTGGGATTGAGATCCTACAAGAGATTTCACGGTAGTTTTGATTATGAGAATGATCGATATGGGATATCAAGTTGCATGTTCGAATAGACTGGGCCCTATTAAAATTAATATAATATGTTGGAGAACGCTTTTGAATCGATTGGCAACGAGAATAAATTTTGGACAAAAGAGTGGTGGAAGTTGAATCTCTTCTTAGTCTTATATGTGATTCGCACTTGGAGACGACTGAACATATTCTTTGTTCTCTTTTATAAGGCATCCTTCCTATGTACACAAATTGTTCGGTGGTGCAATATTGTTATCTTGTCGATTGTTACTATTAGCGAGTGGCTCTCTTGGGTTAACACTATGAGTCTTGGCACAAGACAGGGATATAGTTTGGATGGGGGTGGTGCAAACAACTTTATGGAACATTTGGAACTTTCAAAATTCTTTACTCGGGTTACATAAACCCTCAAAAATATTTACTTTTTGATAAGACTGTCTCCAAATCATTTAGCCGGATTTATAATAGATGATTGAAAATTAAAGTCAATTGAATTGTGTGGCTTCAAAACTAATTGACTATTTTATTTTTGTACTTTTTTATTTATTTTTCTAACTACTTACTAGTTTAGTATAATTCAACCATTAAAGAAAATATTTTTTATAATAATTTGTAATTGGCCATAAAATTGACAGAAATAAAATAAAATCAATAGAGTCATATTAATAGATATTGTGACGTGTTAATCCTAGTTTAGATTGGTTTAAAAAAAAAAGATAACTATTTCTAGGTTATCCCAAAAGTAAAACAAGCTTAAGTTATTCATGGCATATCCCTTATCTCAATGACTCAATCTAGGCCATGTCTAGTGTTGATTGACCTCAAAACCACCAACCGATATCTATTTACTTCATTTGTCGATGCAAAACGGTTTTATAAAATATATTTAATGCAACATTAACCTTAAAACCAAATACCCAAATCAAGTTTAATGGTGTCTATCGATGCAAACGGTTTTGAGAATGTGTCTCATGTGATGGAGTTTAGCATGACCGATTCAAACTTTGATGGCATTTATCGATAGAAACGGACGATGAATTCAAATATTTTTTTCAAGACAAATCCTCAAGTTGTCCTAAGATTAATGTTTTATGCTAAGTCCAAGCTATATATGATCATTGGATCGTGAGATTGGCCGTTTCAACAAAGCCAATTTTCTTGGTTTAGTGTTTTGATTTGTCTTGTACAAACACTACAAAATCCCATTTTTTGGGCGTCATTCATAATAAGGGGTGGGTCTATTTGTGTACTATTTACTCTAATCTTTGAATTTTATCATTATCATTATATTAATTAAAAAAGAATGGATTTTCATCTCTTAGGTTCTTCTTTACCATGTAGCTTTCCTCAATTGCTCATATTAATGTAATTTGACCTATCAAGACTTGAAAGGTCATATTGTTTAGAGGTGTCCTTAACCGGTCTAGACTTAAGAGGGAATAAGTAACTGTAACCTGTCAAACGATAACTATCCCTACCCCCATACCAAAATAGGATACGTTATAACTAGTCGGATGTGTATGTAACCCATCCTTGCTTAACCGGTCTAACTCTCTTAATCGATTTTTTATTTCAAAAAAGAAATATTTAAAAATTAAAATTAAAATCAACGCTTTTTTAATTCAATCAAAAAATAATTTGATATGATTACAAATTGAAAATAAAAATTATGAAACTTAAAGTTCTATAAAAATACGATATTTGTAAATAGACTCATTATTGTCATTGTATTTGTTTTGTCTTTGATATCGTCTTCGTAGTAGATTTTGTCATTGTTTTCATCATGAGATTTTAATTTATCATCTTCTTCTAAAATAATAAAGCTAGCTACTATAGAATCTTGCAAATTAACTCATTGAGCATATAGCATAGCATAGCAGCCAAAATCAAAATCATAATGGTTCCTTTCTTCTTTTTTTCTACCATGTCAAAATATATCTAAATTGTTAAATTGTTCAGAAGTCAAACCGCAAAAAAATTCGCTACGAGGGATGTTGGTTTGCTTTCATTTACCAACTTCATTTATTCAAATATTTATCAACGATACAGTTACTTGATCCCTTACCATTTTACCATTCCCCATAAGGTCGAGTGTATTTTCAAAGTGGTTTCATAGATAAATGTATAAATAATCTTGTTGTAAGCATGTTATTAACGATTACTTTTTGGATTAGTGAAATGTGTGTGTACACATCGTAGTTGGGTTATACGTTAAGTGAAACATATTATATAAATAAGTTCAGAAACTCTGTTATACAATCATTTTTGTTCGCAAAGCAACATTCATAACACCATATCAAGCTTAAGTGTTGGAACAGACTGTAATACAATTTGATTAAATGTAAAACATCCAAACAAATACAAAATTCTAGATTATAAGGTCTCACACTCACCAGCTTCACTACAAATCCATTCATTACATTCTTCGGTTTTTTCTTTCTAAAATTCAAATTCAAACCCAAATCCTGTTACATTTCTCATTCTGTTGACCAATCAGGATCGAGACCTCTCCCTAGCACCCGGTGATCTACTGCATTACATTAACCACAACACCCGTCATTTCATTAAACTCTTAACTTCACCAAATCCCAACATAAAATTAAAAAACATACCTGCGGTACCGATCTGGTGGGCTTTCAGCTCCACTGTAACCCGGGCTCTCACGCTTAGCATCCGGGCTGGCTTCACGGGGTGAATCATCAGGGCTGATCCGCCCTTCACTTCTGGGGCTCACGATAGCACCATGTTCATATTCCGGGCTAACCCGCTCCTTTGGGACCGACCCACGGCTATGGCGAGGTGGCGGGCTCCTTTCTCTTTCTCTTTCCCTTTCCCTTTCTCTACGAGGACTCCGGCTCCGGCTCGCTTTCCGGCCCACCGGGCTCACACTCGGGTCACGACGGCTCGCACCGTTCAAAGCAGGGCTCGCTCCACGGCCATAATCGGGGCTCCCGCGGTCCCTACGGTGTGGGCTCGGGCTGCGACCACGTCCACGCCCGTAATCCGGGCTGCCCCGCTCTCTCCTATATGGACTCGGTGACCGTCTGTCATCACCTCGTCTACGTGGCGACCTGTCACGACCCGGGCTACTCCCATTTCTCCTATCGTCATCGTCTTTAATCGCGTATTCAACGGAAATAACACGGTCCATCAGCTTGCTGTAGATGAGAAACAATACAAAATTCATATGACCGTTTTACCCCTGGTTAAATAGTAAGGAGTATAAGAAAGGAAAATAGTAATGTAATACCTCATGTTTGTGGCTTCAAGGGCTTTGGTGGCATCTTCTTGTAACTCGAATTGTATGAAGGCGAAATTTCTTCTGATCCTTATGTTGAGAATCTTGCCATAAGGATCAAAGTGCCTCTCGAGGTCCCTTGTCCTGGTGTTATACGGATCAAAATTGATTACAAAAAGGGTTTTTGATGGGCGCGAATTGGATGAAGATTTTCTTGAACTTGCAGGCTGTCTCACGTTGCGTTCTTGCTGCCAAAAATTTAGGAATTTAATTAGAATTCAAAAATATAATGTCCCAATAAGGAAAAAAAATTGAAAGCCAGATGATATAATTGGGTAAATTTTTTGAATTATAATGTTTTGATAAAAAAAAGTTGTAAGTAGGATGCTATATTTGTGTAGGTTTTTCAAAGTATAATGTTTTAATAAGATACAAAAATGAAAATAAAATCTGGAAAAAAGTGGGAAGTATAATTCTATTAAAAAAATGAAAGTAGGTTGCTACTAACGTATGTTACCTTTGTCCACTCAACACGAAGTCGGCGTCCTTTCCTACCAAATTCATAGCGATCAAGGGCACGAATTGCATCTTCAGCATCTCTTTCATCCTCCATATAGACAAAAGCAAACCCTGTAAATAACAAAAACATAAAGTCAAATACATATAAAAAAAAATTGTGAGTATAAAAGCTTATATAAAAGAATGGAATCCTCCGAGTTTGCACCGGATAATTGCACAGAGTGAGTGGGAAGCCTAGATAAAAGACCATAGAATCTGTTAAATCTAGAAACGATAGACCAGTAAATCAGCAAACAGACCTTGTGCAAATGAACTAAGAGATGTCATGGAACTAGAATCCAAGGATGGATTGGATTGGATGATTGGATGGATGGATGTGGATGTCAGATGTCTCATGGCAAAATTAGTAAAAAAGGTGCCTTCACCATCTATTCTGTTTTGCCTCTGATTTCTAGCTGGTAATGTGTCTGAAAGTGACAACGTGGAATGAAAGGCAACAATGTCTGTGGTGAATGTGTGATGGTGATGATGATCATGATGGATCGGAATCGGAATCGGAATCGGAATGGCTCTTCTCAGAAAGAAGAAGAGGAAGCCCGTCATGGCCTGGAAATGGAATGCGAATGATCATCCATCAGCCAGGAGTAGTCGGAGAAATCCTGCGCCAAAGAACTATTTGAGTATGGGGGTTTTACACTTCAATAATTTTTATTCTCTTCTTTTTCTTAAACACATCTAGTCACCCCATAACAACTCAATAAAGAAGGCTCTACAGCTCGCTGAGTCACACGATTTCTGCCATCTGTCATCCAGGTAGGATTCTCCACAACATGGTGATGATGATCTTTCGTTTTGCAAGTCTTGCCACCCGTCCGTGACGTGGTATGTATCACATTTGCCAATCTTACTTACCAACAAATGGCATAGAAATCGTTGGTAAAAAGAAAAAAAAAATCCCCCAATCGCCAAGATTACAATTTAAAAGATTTTCTTAGGTATTTGGTAGAAAATTTAAACGGAAAACAATAATCTTTAGAACTTATAGATAGCACATGTAAACAGATATAGTGATAACTTGAGTCAACAAAAAAGAAACAAGATAAGAGCAGAGAGACTATAACAATCTAAAATTACCAGACTTCATATCCACCCGATCAACTTTTCCATATTTTCTAAAGAGTCGCTCCAGTTCACCCTGTCTTGCATCAAACTCGAAGTTCCCACAGAATATGGGCCTCATTTTACCTTCAAAAAACAGACAGTTTGATAAGAATGATTGATAAAGCTACACAATGATATCCCAAATACAAATGTTCATCAGATTATCCCAAAATCGACATCCAAAAATCAATTTTCCTTCAACTATATGCGACCTGTATGAGTATTTGATGTCTAATTATCACAAAGAAACTACAGATAGTGTACTACAAGCAGATAATATTATATTAATCAATGATATATGCATGATAGATTCGCCTTCACCACCAACCGACCAACAAGAATCTAAACAAAATAGCAAGCTGTTGAAATCATTAATAACAAGCAATACATTACGTCAAAATGAAATGGAATCAAAAGAATATCGCAGCAACAGGCAGGTCAACGGAGAACAAAAATAAACATCTCCAATCAACAAATTTCTAGATCTAGACATTCATTAAAAGAGTACGTTGATTTAAAACAGATAACTAAACGCGGATTCAAAAGCACAATGTTGATGTACAAAACAGCATCAGATCCAATTATATACAATAATACAGATATATAACAGAAGCTAACAATAACTAGCACGTTAAGCAACAAATTATAATTCAAATTCTTAGATCAATCGAGGACTAATTCTACAGATGAGGTGTTACCTTCAAAATGGGAAAGAGCAAAACCCTAATCTGCAGAGAATAGATGAGACCGATGAAGATAAAAATATCTTGGTGTATTGACGGCAAGGTTGCTCGAGTTTCTATATATAGTACGGAATTTACATTAACTTCCCCTATCTTCATGATATACGCAATATTGGTTGGTTAAAACTGAATTTCACAGAATTGACCCCTTGAGTGGTTTCATGTGTATGATTTAATAAAACAATTTAAATAAAACAAATTGTTTTTTACTAACATTATTAAAACAACTAATGTTAAAATATTATAGAATATCAAAATTTTGAATATTGAAAAAATATAGATAATATAATACGTGTATTATATTATATTTTTAACAGTATAACCAATCTTTTAAAATTTCATCAATATCTTATTTTCATACTAATAAGTTTTACTTTTACTCTCTTTAATGAAATAAAATACAAGTCACATTTCTAAATAAAACAAAATATGATGATGTTATCTTTTTTTTTCGTCAATATACATCAATAAAAATAGATCAATTTTAGGGTGGGTTTAAAACATATATTTGAATGTTAACATGAAGTAATATTTGTTTTTTAGAAATTTTATTTGGCTTAGATCTCCTCCCAACTTTCTTACTTGACAAATGACATTACATTGTGTAACATGTAACAAATTTGGCATCCAAAACAAACCATTTGTGGCATGTGGGAACTTTTTGTCCCCCACATGTCATTGGATATTTTGTCACAAGCTTGATAGCGGCAGAAAACTTAAGATATACAAGGGTATGTCCCTTGGCTCAAGGTTTCTCTCAACAACTTGGTCTCAATTATGATAGACTTCAAGTTATTTTCTTGAAACACAAATAGTTAGGTAGATATGTCCTATAATTCGTGTAGTAGTATGATTGACATTTGGATGATGCTTTTATTAGTTAACAACAATCCTATAACATCCTATAAAGATGACTAACCAAAACCATTTTTAAATGCCAACATTTATACAAGATGCAGAAGAAAATGAATTGACAATAGTCTATATATCTTTTAGTTATAAACTTATAATTGATTGATATTAAAATGCAAGTAAAATTATCATAATTTAATGTTAAAACAATAATGGGTTGCGGCACAGTCCGTTTACCCGTTACGTCTATATAAAACTTTTATGATTAAAAAGAAGTTATATATCTTTAAAACTACATATATAAAATGAGATGTTGGATTTTTTTTTTCTTTTCTATTCAATGATGGAATGAAAAATAAAAGCTCATATGATGTACGTAAAAGCTCATACAGTGTACGTTTTATTTAATTGCATGAAGTATGAAGTGACAAATAAATGAAATAATGAATGCATGAATCTGGTTCATGTTAATATGTAAATGAAATGTGTTTTCTCCATAATATTGTTTTCTCATATAAATGGGATCGAAAAATGGAATGAAGTCATGAACATTGAACTATTTCATTTCTACTTTTATTTTTTGGATTCCATTATACCATTATACTAGATATCTTCTTCTTCTAAAATTACAAATTAACAAGAGTAAAATAATTACATCTATCTTTTTGAACAAAAAATTATTTTATTCCTTCAAACAAAATAAATAATTCCTTTTTCATTTCAACTAAAAAAGATTTTCCGGCGTTGCGGGTTTGGAATAAAAAGTAAATAAGATTAGATGTTATATAAAATCTATGCATGTTAACACATATTATCATTGTACTTTGAAAAAGTAGCGAAAATAAAGAGAACTCCCAAAGCACAATCTTGTAATAGCAATCAGAAGAAGTTAAAATATGATGCTATAATCAACAAAATATTACCTGTCATTCATATTAGATATCCTACTTTTACTATTTTAAACGAAAACAACAAAAAATATAGGGGTTGAGTGGGTTTTAGTAACCATTTACCTTATCACTGTCCCATCATTGGCTTCCATCCGCATCTGTTTGTCAAAATAAAAACACAAATGGATGTATTTTTTTAATGGAGGAAACAAAAGTGAAATATTATAGATAAGCACCAAAAGTCATTAATATGTGGTTGAGATGCATTTAAAGTGGTTAAACCCACAAATATGTAGTTGCTCTTTGCTTTCCATTAGATTTTACATATGTACGTCTATTTTTCTATTTTGGTACCACATTTACGTTTACTTTATATAAGTTTGTATTAAAAAAAAAACACATATCTCAAACGCAAAAATGAACACCCATGGATATGGAACTATGGAAGTGGGAATATACATGGAATCATAGATATGGACGTAGTTGCTACACTGGTTGTCTGTCTATAACTGAAGGCCATGGCGACGGCGTGGTCCACCATGTCGGCGGAGCTATCACCGGAAACTTCAGTCATGGGTCGAGCCCAATCTTTATCCTTCCGCTGTTTGACTGTATTATAATCATAATTTCAATCTTGAAGTTGACCAGTGCCTAATGAAAATACCAAAAGGTCCTACACCCCGCGTACTTGATATGATTTCTTGAAAGGCTCATTTATCTCCTATGATAACTCTATTTCTAGGGAAAAAGTATCTGGAAACTTGCATATAAAAAGTTATGTATTATTCTATATTCAACAAATTGTTGTATTATTCTATATTAAAAAAGTCGTTGTATTGTGATTACAAATAGAGCACAAGTGAGTATGCAAGCATTACATAACCTTTGAATGGTGTTTGTATGTGTTGGGGAAAAAGGTGGAACGGTCTTGCAACACAACTTCCTCTGATAATCCAAACATCCCCTTAGTATGCAAGCTATTAGTTTAGTAAACAAAAGGGAAAAATAGTTCACAGGTAAAATATCAAGAGGCGGATATAAATATCAAAAATCAAACATGAACATACTTTGTTATATAACATTCACATGTTTAAAATTTATAAAAATGTAAAATTTAAACATTTAACCAACTATACTACAATACTCGATCACAAAACCATGACTAAAAAGAAACATTAACTTTACCATCTATAGTAGGACTTAATAATAACCAATTATTAAGCCTAAATATTATCAATATATGGCAATTTAAGTAAAAGACATATAAATAATGTTAACCCTAATGGAGGGAATGAAATCCAAGTCTGAATATTTTACATGACATCAATTTGTGAGAGAGAGTCGACATTCACAATTGAAAGGGCTCAAATCCATATATAAATAAAGAAACTTACTGTGTAAATGTGTATATACCTCTCTCCATAATAAAGTCCTCACCAGACCAAGTTAACAAATTCAATTTCAAAATGTAGTGTAAAAGCAACCTGCATAAGTCAAGGATGCAAAAATAGTTAAATTTTTATCATCTTCCACCACCTATTGTCATATTCAAATTCCTCACAAAAAAAACATATTCAATTAGAGTCTAATAACCATAATAAAATCATTTATCTATCTACCTACTGATAAACAAAACAAAAATTGACTTTAAATCAAAGAAACCGATTCTAAATATTGTAATAAAAAAAATCTTGTACTTCAGAAATAATGGATTTTTGCATTGAGAATCCATAAACAACCAATAATAGGAATCTTATTCAAGCTCTAAGTCAAAGCCGAGAAAAAAAACTATGAAAAATCTAAATGGATTCTACAGCTGTTTGGTTGTGTAAACCCCTGGTTCTTGGTTGTACATGTGTAAAAACACAAATGCTTCAAGTATTCAAGCAATAAAAGTACCTATTGGAACTTAACTGGAGAAAATTGTTACTGTTAGAAACTTGAAATCTCAAATCGGATTCTTCATTCTTGAAATCTCAAATTGACAATTGAGCAACTACATTTGTCGGTGTCTGCATATTCATTCTTAAAATTTATAGTTGAGTACTTGTCTTCAACAAATTAGGGTTTAAAATCGAAATGCCAATCCCTTACAGAGGCAGAAGGAAAATTGGTAAGAAGTTGAGCTTTGAAGTGATTGAAAAAACCGAGATGCCAACCCCTTACAAAGGAAATTGGTAAGATGTTGAACTTTGAAGTTATTGAAAATTCGATAAATGAAAGCGATAGCTAAATTCGGTCATGTGAAGCGGTTTTGGTGGGGATCGCACCTCCACTCTCGGATTTGAAATCAGAAGTCAATAGCATCCAAATTCGTTCCCTAATCAACAACAAAACATGGATTGAGCATCAATCTCAGCAGAAAACACAAATGTGATGGTATAGGTGTATCAAACATCATCTCAAATCAGATTAAAACACAAAAGGCTGAACTCGGTGGTACGTGCTCTGCAATCAACCGAGCCCTTCGCTTTGGAATTAGAAGTACGTGAAACATAAACTGAAAACCGTAAGCACAAAACTTAGTGAGTTCCAAACTACCCCATATCATACATTATAAATCACATATTGGGCCCCCGCTCTCCATCGGGCCCCGCCCGGTATCGAGTCTCACTCGGCTTCGGGCCCCGCTCGATATACAAATCTGTAATTCTTAGGCCCCGCCTGACATCGGACTCCGCCCACTATACACATAGACATATATCACATAATCATATTAACACATACAATGATCATAAACATAATAGCATACGATACGGTCATCGAGCCTCACCCGACATCGAGCTCCACCCTGTATACATAGCAGCGCATATCACGTGCAAGGGTCACACAGACTCCTAGCATTCTAACATAAATAATAAGGTTCGGCATTGGTGCCTTAGACCCGCTAAACCTAGTGAGGAAACTCACCTAGACTGCTGAATCACACGACTAAATCTCGGGTTGTTGTCCGACGAATCCCCGAGCTATCAATACCAAATAACATCAAATTAACAAACGAGATTCCATTCCATGATCATCGGTCCATAATTAGGGTAAATTACCAATTTACCCCTTACCTAGTTTAGACCAAGACTTAATCCCAAACCCATAATCCAAAAGGTCCAAAATGCAAGTAATCATCCAAGGCCCAAACATGGCCTAATTTTCCAAATTGGGCCCAAACTCTTACATTGTCCTTACCGAAGGACCACCAATAATCCTAGTCAAAAACACTTTTTCAGATGGCCCACAAAACCCTAAGCATCAAGGCCTAAAAGAATGGCCCAAACTGAAGCCCAAAATGTTTGAAGCCCACTGACTGAGTACGTGATGCATACTCAGTTGTACGCTAAGCGTACATGCTTTAGGACTTGT